AGGTCAGGTTCCCCCAACATGTAGGTTCCAGGGACCCAACTCAGGTATTCAATCTTGGTGGCAGGTGTCCTCCCATTGGCCCCAGACAACAGCACACTAAAATTCTAGGCCAGGTAGTGGTGGTGCACGCCTTTAATTCCAGCACTCAAAAGGCAGAGGCAGGTGGATCTCTGTGAGTTCTGGGCCAGCCTGGTCTACAGAGTGAAACCCTGTCTCGAAGCAACAACAGCAACACAATTCTGGAGAGCACTTTGAAATAATTTTCAAACCGTAAGTTTCACATAACTTTCACATAACGATGTGCCCCAATTTTAAAATACCAGCCAAAGCTTTTTCAGTGGTAAAGGGTTTGCCTAGCATGTCATAGCCCAGAGTCCAACACCAAGCATCACACATACAAAAAAATTAAATAACCATACATATTCAAATTCATAGACTCTTAGGTATTTAAGTAACCTTTAATTTTTTTTTTTTAAATTTATTTGAGACAAGGTTTCTCTTTGTAACCATAACTATCCTAGAACTCACTCTGTAGACCAGGTTGGCCTTGAACTCAGAAATCTGCCTGCCTCTGCTTCCCCAGTGTCGGGATTAAAGGTTTATGCCACTTGCTCGGCTATATAAGCAACCATTTATTGATGAACAGTCTGTTTACATTTTCTAAAAATACATTCCAAGTAACATTTCACTAAGGTCTCTTGTGCTTGTCCATAGCAAAAAAATATTTTGTTTGCTACTAAGTCTGTAGGACATAGTTCTAAAATTGCTAAAGCAAAGACTATGCATTTTTAATTTCGCGAGACATTGCCTAACTTCCTTCCAGGAAGTTGCACCTATTTACAATAAATGGGAAAGTCTACCTCCTTAAAGGGCCTTCCAGCCTACCCGCCCGAGTCACCTTGCAATACTCTCAGAGTGACAAAGGTCAGCTTTACAACCACCGGTGTGTAGGAACCAAGACTCAGAAGAAACTACCGAGTATCTAAGAGAGCCTCAATCCGATCCTGGGTTTCTAGATTTCAATCCAGGAGCCTAACTCCGGGCACGGAGACGTCTGTTTCGGGGATCAACTCACTGATTTTACACGGGTGCTCAAGCGCGGCGCAGAACCGCCTGGAAACACCCAACTCCGACAGGCAGGGTCAGGCAAACCCTGCGCTCAGGGTCTGCGTTCAGCTCCCGCCTGACACCGCAGCCCCGACTTGCACACTTGCGGTAATGGGGAGCTCGCATCTCTCAAGGTAGCCCCTCCTTGGGCTAGTTCTCATCTTCAAAGCCTTCTCCGGGCCCGGAGCCGGGGCAGCTCCTCTTCAGGCTGTTTGAAAACACAACAAAATCAAACCCTCCCCATAGCTCGCGCTTCCGCCTCTTCTCCGCACGCAAGACGCCTCAGAGCCAGGGCTGTCCCAGAGGGCGACCTTCCAGGCTTCGGCGGCCTCGCGACAGGCCGCAGCAACAGCGAAAGCCGGGACTCTCGGCTCGGTAGAACCAACCGCGACGCTCGGGCGCCATCTCGTGGCCACGCCTCAGACCCATTAGCGGCAAACTGGAAACTACATTTCCCAGCGTGTCTAGCGCAACTGCGCAGGCGCAAAAAAGGTCCTCTCGTTTCCATGGGAACCTCGACCCCCGGATAAGCCGGACAGTGGTGCTGTGAAGGGTTAGAATGCTGCTCCCTTAGAAGCTAGGAGCTAGGTGACCCGGTCTGTGGACCATTACGAGGACAAAGTGGGGAACTGCCTCCCGGGACCAGCGCTGCCCAATTCTGCTGGGTGTCCCGGCGTCCGCGCTCTCCCGGGGCCTCGGCGTCCCGAGGAACCCGGCGAGACCAATGTTTTGCTCTGGCATGCCACGTGCGGCTCGTCCCGAGCCAGTCTCTAAATCTTGTCGCCCTCCGCGGAGGGCCTGCCTGCGCGCCCCACACAGGTTCTCCACCGGCTCGGCTCGAGCGGACAGCGGGCGGGGTAGCGGGCGCTGAGTGAATGTGGAAGTAGAATCCACACTCTAGGTGGGACCAGCGCACCTCGGGCTTGGACCTGATTCTGCCTCCAAAGAACTGGGACGCCAGGTTGACCCCCAGTTTCAGTATTCGTCCTTGTTCCCGCCCAATGCAATGGGATTTGCCCTGGAATAGAAGAAGGCAAGTCTCTCTATTTCACTGAACCCGAGTTCCTGTCTCTTTAACATAAGGAAGGAACTTTTGAGCAGGATGTGGTGGTGCACCCTTTTAGATGAAAGTGCATCTCTGTGAGTCCAGGCCAGCCAAGGCTACATAGTGAGAACTTGTCTCAAAAAATAAAATTAAAAATAAATTCAAAAGGAGCTTGAAGCAAATAATCCCCAAGGTGTTTTCTAGCTATACAATTTACCTACAGCGAGAGTCGCTTCCCCTCACCAAGTGCAAGAGGAAAAAAAAAGGTGGTGGTGGAGATGAAATGGTTTTATTTTTTAATAGTATTTTTATTTTATAATTAGCTTAATTTCACATGTTAGCCACGGATTCCCCTGTCCTCCCTCCTCCCACCCCCACCCCCACCCCCAGGGGATGAGATGGTTTAAGCAAGAATCCCAGCCTGGGATGTGATCCAAACTTGGATTTGTGATTTGGGTGCAGACTTACTACACCTCCTGGGCCTCCGTTTCCTCGTGTACACAAATAAGGGCAAGGGGTAGTTTTGTCTTTAAGGTTCATTAACCTTAAATTCTGTGAGTTTGTCTGTCCTCGAACTCACAGAGATCCACCCGCCTCTGCTTCCCAAGTGCAGGAACTAAAGGCGTGTGCCACCACCACTGCCCAGCCAGATCCCTAATTTTTGAAGTAACTTCTTTTTTTTTGGGGGGGGGGGGTTTCGAGACAGGGTTTCTCTGTGTAGCTTTGCGCCTTTCCTGGAGCTCACTTGGTAGCCCAGACTGGCCTCGAACTCACAGAGATCCGCCTGGCTCTGTCTCCCAAGTGCTGGGATTAAAGGCGTGCGCCACCAACGCCTGGCTGAAGTAACTTCTTTTATTTCTGGGCATACCCATTCTTTTTGGGGAGGATCATATATTTACAGCTGAGTCTACTCACTCAAGGTTTGATGCTGAAGACCAGTGCACTCACGGGGACACAGTGTGTAGGGATGGCCCAAGGTCTGGGAGTGGGGAAGATACTTGCCCTCCCTTGAGATTCCTAGAGGAAGTGAGCACTTACCTGTTGTGTGAAATGCATGCAGTGCCCACAGAGGTCAGAAGAGGGCATCAGAGCCTCTAGAATTGGAGTTAACAGACAGTTGTGAGGTGCCAGG